AAGAACACTTGTCATTGAGGTATCTTTGTGCCCCCATGTAATCACTCAGCAGGCCAAATCTCACACAAAGCAACCTCTGTGAGTATGTTTTCTGACACTGTGTCCATCCAAAGGGGTTAGACAAGCAGAATTAGCCAATGGACCAGTAATAAAGGCTTTCTATTAGTCTTGGCCTTTGCTGGAACAATGGTTTCATTTATAATCCCAACATCAAGATGTCAGTTTGGAAAAGTCACAGCAGAACATTATTTCTAAGCTTTTGGCTGCTTTGAACACTGCTGTATTCATTTTCCTTCCTCCTGAATCCATATTTACGGGCTAAGTGTGTGTTCCCAATGTGTGAGTTGCTAAAGAAAAATAACTAGGGTTACTACTGCCGCTAAATAGAGAAGGTCAGTCAGGGAATTAGTTTGTATGGATAAAATTCAGCTGTATTGGTTGTTCCCATGAGTTGCTTTCAAATTGTTAATTTTCATTAATAAAACATAATAGTACAAGCCACATTGTGCATGTATTAGTGAAAGACAAAGAAGAGAGGACTAAACCTAAAAAGATTTGCAAATGATTTCTTATTCCAATGATCCATCCTCTTCTATCACACAAAAGGCTGACAGGATCTTTCCAAAAGTCCCAAAAGATTTGAAAACTGCCAATTAGACAGCAACAAGGGACCAAGGGGGAAAATTCAGGTCAGGAAGCTAAACAGGAGAGTAAAAAAATTTATTCTAAGGATAGGTATCAGTATGATAAATGAAACATCAAAAAAAAAAAAAAATCAAATGCAATGAGATGTGAACTGTTCCCTCCCAGAAATCTTTGAAATCCTATTAGCCTGCAATCAGCCACAAATGAAAAAGCAGGTCCCTTAAGCATAGCTGAAAACATTCTATCAGTGTGTACTGACTCCACAGTGGTTTGTCCCAAAGCAAAGTCTAGATTCTTTTGCTGTCTGGTACCCGTTGCTATATACATATATATATTTAGATATATATACACACACACATAAACACACATGTATATATTTATATTTTAATTATGAGTTTCCAGTTTGGTCCTACATTGCAGAAAGACATTTCCTCTACTAAAGATTGCACACACTGAGTTGTAAGGAACATAACTTTATCTTTCACACTTCAGGAAAGTAGTTACAATGACTGTCTCTACTACATTTTTCCTTCAGCTGCTTCAACACACCTAAGGAAAAGGCAAAGATGATTTTTGTCCCAGCCCCAGGCAACAGAACATCAAATGTTTGCCTAGAAAAGACTTTGGATCCTCAGTCCAAGGACACAGAAGGGACACGTGCTGCTTTGCTCATTGTTCTCGCTAAGGACCCGCATCCTGAGGGTAGGGGGGGTAAGGACCACCCACACCTCCCTGATCCACCCAGTGGGGCTGCCTCCACCCCCAGAGCTGCCCTTGCCGTCCAGTAGCCCCTTAGCAAGGGTGGCACCCAGTTAATTACGGAACAGACACCAGGGCATCTGCGCACCCTCTCAGTAACTCAGACTTTCAAGAGGAAATCGGGCCGTTTCTGGAGAGAAGAATAAGAATGAGAGAAGCAACGAGAGGGGAAAAAAAAGCAAAGAGCCCTTGCTTTTAGCTACAGAGCCTTTCGGTCAGGCTTTCAGACCCTGACACCTCGTACACGCTATTGTTTCCAACTGCATGAAGCCATTTTGCTGGGCACCCAGCGAGCTGAGAGAGGTCATTGTAATTCATAACAGGGAAGGCTGTTGTGAGTATCACCCTGTTATGATACACATTTTCTCTGAATTTAATTTATAGGAAAACATGTGCTGCATAAATTCAGGAAATAATCTCCATATGTTCTGTGCTGCAGCCCTCAGCCACTCCGCAGGCTGCAATATATCCCGGTTAGGCACTGACCACTTTGCTGGCACTGTCATAATGTATGTCATGTAGCTAATGTGCTGCTCTTGGCTGAGAGTGGCGAGCTACAGATCCCTAACGGCGCACTCAGTGAATCACAGCCCGGGCCCCTGCCGCCGCCGCTGACCCCAGCCGACGGGCCATCAGTAACCGAGCTGCGGAGCCGCCAGAACGCCACGATGCTGGGCCCTGGCAAACGCCCGGCGCGGCACTCGTTGGCGGGGAGCTACGGCCACCCCGCGCCGCGCCGTCCCTGCACTCCGCATCCTGGGCGTAATGAATTCCTACCCGGCCCGGGCTCCGCTGGGTTGTCAAAACGCGCACTCTGTAATTTCACAACCATCAAAGCCCGGGACTGTTCCCCATCTGACGGCAAGCCCTCGAAGCCATTTGAAATCTAAAAACAAAACAGCTATGCTGTCTGCCTCCCTTCAGGATTCGGAGCCCACTCATCTGCCTCAACTCTGGCGAGAAACCTATTATATCAGCTGACAGCGATACACTTAAGGGTGAGGAGGAATGTATTTACTTACATGCAATTTGCTCCATTTTTTTCCCTTCTGTAAGCAGGAAAAGCATTACGATGTGCATTACTGCAAGAGAACAACATTTCTGGCAAATACTTTCAGTGAACACTTCAAAATCCACCCTAATTTATATCCTTACAATATCTTTAGAATATATATCCCTATTTATGTCATTAAAAGATGAAACCACACCAGCAAACACGCACCGAAAGATAAATATATGTATGCATACATGCATGCACAGATCAAAATGCTTCAGAAATATGCTGTCATTCGTAGTAGATCAGGCACTATGGTTTGGAAAATGTAAAGATATCAACAGCATTTCCCTGTGCTCAGAACACAAAACAAATTGAAATGTTTACGTGTAAATACCATTTCGTATTATGATCCCGCCAAGAAGTCTCACAAAAGCTGGGCAACCCGAAGTCTCGCAGGGCAGTATGTAAATACTGTGAAATAAGAGACAAAGCAGCTTACATGCTATAATGAAATTCTGATGTTTCGAAGGCAATGGGACTTCTGCCACTGGCTCAGCGGGGCCAGATTTCGTATCATATATACAGGGAGCACCACTCCTCTGTGGCAGACTGGGAATGCCTCAAGGAACATAGATAGAGGGAACCCATTATCCCAGAAGACAACCCAAGCATGGCAGGTTAAAACTGGCTATATTAATGGTAATGACTTAGTTAATGAAATCCCACAAAGTGGGATCCCTGAGGAAGTATGATGGTGACGATACCACATGGTCCGTGCTCCCAGTTCCCCTCTGGCCATATACTAACCGTACCGTATTCAGTGAGGGCTCAGGAGAATACCTCTTGATGGATATCTAAGAGGTTGGATTTATTATGACAGGGCATTACTATCAATAGTGATTCACTTTAATTCATTGCCTCACAATAAATGTCTTATCTGAGGCATAAAGGCACACACTGAAAACGCTCAATTGAAAAACAATTCCATTTGTATCTCTTATTCAAGGTATTTTTTTCTCCCATTCCTTATTCTCACTTACCAAGGAAATTTGCATGAAAATAAGATCTTACTCATAAGAGCTCACCTGCTGCCTGCTGTTTGGGAGTTGTAAGGCTCCCTGTTGTCGGCTATTGCAATCATTTCTACAGCAGTGATCGGGGATAGCACAAAGGATTAAGACTCTACAAGTGGGGCACTATCCACAGCCCGCTGAAGTCAATGGAAACTCTTACCTATCACTCAAAAGAGTTTTTACAGGACCTTTGAAGCCTGGCAGTGCTCAGCCTTCACTAATAGCATGTGCTGTAAAAAGACTTCTGCTTCCATGATGCTGGTTCTGCCCAAGATGTCCTTTTTTTGTAATAGCCTGAATGATGTCTTTTTTCAGAATCTTCATTAAAGCTTAGTTCAAAAGTTTTTCATTCCCACTTTAATTTGCTCTGGGTCTAGATAACTTCATCTTTTGGTCATTTTTTCCGGCAAGTTAAAAAGCTTTAGACTGTGTAATAAATGGATTATCAAATCAATAGAATGAAACCCAAGAGATTAGGCTTTGACAGACCAAAGGAATGTAAGAATTACTAAAGATCCTTCTCATTCTTACTACCAAACAGAAGACACACAAACATGTCATTTTGTACCAAAAGCCACAAAACTGTCATTCAGAGCATTCACAGTGCAGGACTCTGCTTCTCTCATCTGCCAGGATGTGCTCGCTCTCCCAGTTTTTATTCCCTCTCTTTTCATTTACCTCTTTCTCACTTCTTTTTGATGACTGAAAACAAATAGCAATGGAATGACAGGATGTGATGATCTGCAGAGGCAGGGCTCTAGACCCAAATTCTGAGAAGCTCCCTTCCCAAACCATGTTTGCTAACAAAATCCCGCCACTGCACCAGGAGAGGGTTCTGCATTTTTGCTGATGAGTTTGGAACCTGCAGTGAACATCACATTCGCCAGGGAGATATGGTAACTGTCATAGCAGTCAAACCCCCATGGACATCACCAGTTAGTTCATTAAAGGCACAGAATTAGCAGCACTATCAACTGGTGCGGTGCAAATATTTATAAACACGATCCTGCAATGCACTGAGCAACCTACGCTAATCTGTGCTCAGCATCTCGGGAGCATGGGCAGCACAGGAGTTCACCTTGCTCTTTTAGGGGAATAAGACCTCAGAATTTCACACTGGTTTGTTGCACTCTCTGAGCAGTTAATGTCGAGAGAACAGCCCTTTGCAAGAAGTAAGGGGGTTTTAGCTGTGTCTGTTAGTTGCAAGCATGAGGCTGTGTTTGGCAAACAGACGTCTTCTGACA